GGAAAGCAGCAGTAGAAGAGATGGTGCTGTGGAAGAAAAGAAATCTCACTGTAGCCGATCCAGTCCTGGACCTCACCACATCCTCAAAGGGAGAGGCTGATGGTAGAAAGAAATCTGATCTCCACAGGAGAAGGCAATACCAGTCTCCAAAAAGGCGACCAATAGGTGAGAAAGGTTACAATATACAGAGAGGGATTAATTTGTCTAAATTGCAATAGGAGAAACAGGGTCTGCTTTCTACAAGGGCTCTTTCCACCCTTCTCAGCCTCTCAGTGCAAAAGCCAGAGCAGAGACGGCTGGAGAGCAGAGCTGGTGACATTCAGCCCTGTGTGGCTCTGACTAGAGGCTGGTGAGGAGAAAGAGGAAAATGAAAAAGCTATTGTCTTGATTCACAATCCCAGTTCAGGCAACTGTCTTTGCCCTTCAATTCTTTCTTTATCCCATCGCTTGGAGGTAGGGACAGAATCTCAAGACAGAAACCAAATCAGCTTTGCCTATTAGTGCCACTGAATGATCCCCCTCCGCTGTAGAGCATTAGCTTCCTTGTGCTTGCAAAGCAAACACTGTCTTTACCTTAAAGATTTTCCATGTGAGAAACACCATTAAAAAAAATCCACAGGAAAAACTGCATGTTAATTATATAAATTAAGAGCATTGAAGTCTGGGTTTAGGTGTTCCCATCCCCCAGATTTTAAAGCTATTTGATCCAATTTCCCCTATAGCTCACTTAAAGTCAAAGTTTGCCCTGGCATGGGAGCAAAATATTGTTTTGACACAAGCTGTGTATTTATAAAGGGATGCTGAGAAGTACCATCTGCTTTGGATGTGTCTAAAAACTTAAAGTAAGGCCAGCAGAAATTCGCTGAGAAATTATAATCATGCATCCCAGTTTTGTTTCATACTCCTATGTCAATTGGTGGTAGTAGGATCAGGCTGTGTCTCCAATAATGATATTATGAGGAGTAAAAACAGGTACATTTTGGCATAAATGATTTGTGCAGGAAATGCTCTAACTTTCTCCTCCTGTCTTCAAATGCTTAATGCCCTTTTAACGTAGCTGTTCTGCATGTGAAAATGCAGATCTCTGGTCTCAAAAGGGTCTTTAATAAACAAAATAGAGATATGTTACATTTATTTAAAAAAGAGGAAGCTGCTGACCCCCCTACTATAATAAAGGGCATTTTGCCATTGAGTTTGATAAAGCCAGGATTTTACCCAAGGATATTCAGGAAAAGGTTAAACTCCTTGAGTGTTTAAAATCTTTGGGTCAACTGCTATACGGGACCAAAGTTGCATAGTAGGTGGTCAACATAAGCACATGAAATACAGCAGCATCCAGAAGAACATTTCTCAGCTGGACATACTCATTGTGTGTTCACGCACTCAAGGAGGTTAAGGGAACTTGGATCCACCTGAGGGAAAGGGCACTGAGGTTTTCCCTGGATCAGAAAGTAAGTGGAGATGGGCATGTGGGTGTGTGCGTTGCGTGTGTATCCCTTCCAAAATGACACGCTTCACCAAAAGCTGGAGTGCTCACAAAACTAACCCCACTGTAGCGCCTTGACCGACAATGGCATGCGCTGATGGAGTGTGGCTCCCCGAAAAGTCTCGTCTTCCTGCCAACTCCATTCCAACCCTTTCTGTCATTAGAGAGGAAACGATAACTACTGTGGTGAAGAGCCCAAGACAAAGGGGAAGGGTTTCTCCAGCACGGTCTTCTTCAGGTCATTCGCCTTCCCGCTCCCCAAGAGCAGAGCCAACTCCAGAGCCAATTTATGTTTCAAAGATCAGGCAGCCTGTCCACAGACATGAGCAGGAGGCAGCACCGAAGTCTGCTGTTCCCATGCTTTTTGTCACAGAACCAGAGGACAGGCAAGGAGCAGCAGCTAGAGATGTTGTCATAGAGACCAAGGTGGAAGAGAAAAAGCCCAAATGGGTTGAAGTGGAAGAAATAATTGAATTCAAGGTGAAAAAAACACCAAAACCTGCAAGGAAAAGAGGCTCTTCCCCAGCAAAACAAGAAAAAGATGACTCAGGGGTGTTAACACTCACTTTTCCCAGCTCAAGGCCTAGGCGTTCCCCAGAAGATGATCCAAACACAAACAACTCCAACAATAAACTGGTGGAACAGTCAAAATCTTTGTCTAATGACAGTCTCTCTGAAGCCGATATCCAGCCCCTGGCGTATGCAACTGAGGAGGAAGGACCTCAAGTCAGCAATGAAGACAGAAGCTCCCCATGTGGGTCCGAACAACTAGGAAATAATTCATTTATGGATTACGAAATTGAAGGAAAGAGCTTCCCACAGGAAACAAGTGCTCACTACGGGTCAGACATCGCTTCCCCGCTGCTTGCCTGCGGGGGTGAGCCTTTGATCTTCAGTTTTGAGACAGCTGGTGCAGACCAGCACCAACTTCTGTTCTCACCAGACGTTAAGGAAGAGATAGATGAATCGGATGTATCTTGGTCTGTTGAAGAGGGAGTACCGGAAGTAATGCAAGATGTCCTTCCAGAAGAGGATAATGTCATTATAGTTGATGAACCAGAGGAACTACAGACAGATGACATTAGCACCCGGGACCACAAAATCTTAACCCACAATGGCAAATTATTAACTTTAGAGGATCTCGAAGATTATATTCCTGAAGAAGGTGAGACCTACGGGTGTGATGATCAGAACCACACGACAGAGAAACCCTGTGAAATCTCCGTGCTTCAGACAGAGATTAACGAGCCAATGATTGGGAAGCCGGTGCTGCTAAATCTGGGGAGACCTGTGGTTTCCAAGCCCAGGCAAAGATTTTTCAGCCAGTTTGAGGAGCACGTTCCTGGGAGCATGTTCATGTCAGCATCTAGAGTAACTGGTGTGCAGTCTGTAGGCCCCTCAAACATCTCTTTCCATGTGAGTGATACCTGCATGGGAGTGACACCTGGAGTGCATGCAGCAACAGCAGCAGCTTCTCCTGGTCCCTCCTTCACAGTGAAACCATCTTTCTGCACCGAAGTCCAGCTTTCAGCAGACAACGGACAGTCAAGCTTCAAAACTGAAGTTTCCACAAGAACCCTCAGCTACGGGACTGTTGGCGAACCTGTTACCTTGCACATCAGCACAGAAGACCTCTCTGAAAGCTGAGAAGATGCAAGCATAATTTTCAACACAAAAGAAAGCAGCGCTTTAGAAAGAACTAATCAAAATTGTTGTAGGTGAGGGGAATTGGTGGCAAAGATTACAAGGTAACATGCACGAGGGAATACCTTTGAGGAAAATGTATTTAAATATGTCGAGCTTTTCCAGTCTTAAAGGGAACATGTCTGCCAGAACAGTTTGTAATTTTACAGGCTTTGATCGAGGTGAACAAATATCATTCCATACAGAGCAGTGACGGTAGGTTTAGGAAAAGCCTGATTCTCCTGCCTATGACAGAAATATAAATGAACAAGTGCGTTTTTGTCCGTGAACTTAAAAATTATTTCAAGTGCCAATTTGTACACTATGGTGTGTCAAGAAGGTGAAAGTATCTAAGCTTTTTGGCATCCCTCAGCAGCCCAGGATAGGAGGACTGTTTCCAGCTAAAGCGATCTCCTGTCACTGTGCGTGCCTGAAGGTCATGAAGCTTCACACTGCTTTGACTCTGTTGGACACTTTTGACACCAATTAGCTCTATCAAAATTTCTTCATAAGCCTTTCAACATGCACAGTCTGGTTCCATGATATTAACCTTCTGCCACAGAGCAAAACATATAGAAAATACTGCATTTACTGGGAATGCAAAGGGCTTCTCAGCCCTTGTGGTTGAAATCTTAATCTGACTGAAGCCAATGGTCAAAGTCCCTCTAACTTAAGAAAGCAAGGATTTCATTGTTCTCTTCTGCTTTAAGTAAAAAAAATACCATCTTTTTTCAATGCCTGCTATTTTCAAGTTCATCTTCTAGTTGTCTAAAGGTGTGGGTTCATTATTCTCATTCTAGTGTAGTGGATTTATAAACCACATCTTTTAAAATATATATTTACTTCACGTGCACCAAAACATTAAAGTGCTGCACAAAATGACTTCTGCATTTGCTAACACACGCAAAGAATGACAAATGTGAGCTTTGTCAATAAATATTACTGGAAGACTATTTTGTCTCCTGTGCATGCCAGTGGTGAAACAGTAATGTTAACAGATTGATGGATAATGAGGAATTTACCACTGAGCTACAGCAAAGCAGCAGGAGCACAAAGTTTTTTAAAAAAATGAAGAAAGATAAAAGATCTTTACCACAAATGCCTGGTTGAAAAATAGTTCTGCTCAAAATGTATTGGGCTGCTTGGAAGCACTGCTGGTTACAATTGCATCGTATTACTGTAAGCACGTACGTTGAGCTGTCTTGTAGAGGTACTGCCTTCCGTTGAGTTTCTCTGGAGCATCGCAGCAGGAGCGCTGATTGCGAGGGGAAGGCTAAGATGCGCTGATGCACGTCCCACTTGTGTTGACTTCACCAAAAACGGACGTTGCACAGACCTTCCTCAAGTCACTCAGCCCTGGAAAGAAATGAGCTCCCAGGCCCACATATTGGTCCCAGTTGAAGTCAGCTGGAGTTTGTCATTGATCTCAGTAGGACCAAGCACTGGCCCTCGCTGTCTGACAGAGATGTGGGGTGAAACATCCCAACACCTTGTCCCAGCTGAGTTGTGTAGCACTATCGCAATAGAAAATGTTTTTATTTAGATGGTGCAGGGAAACCAGAACTTCTCAGACACAGTTGAACTTCTAACTAGCATGAAGAAAGAGGATTGAGTGAGTTTTTGTCTCAGAGATGTAGATGTATGGTGTTGTCTCAGTGTTTCCCAGCTAGGTAAAATTGTGAAGCTTGTTCTGGAGTCCTCTGAGCAATATTCCCACTAACAGGGACTGAATTCACAAAAGGTGCTTGTAGAAATGAATACAGTAATTTTTTTCCTTCTGTGGCTGCACCTTGATCGTGTGCTAACTAAAATGAACATATTGATTTCACAGCCTTTTACTTCCAATATCCAAACAAGACGTTATGTGCAATATCATGTGCACTACCCTCATGATACAGGATGTTTTTCCAGTGATTACATGTGGTGAAAGAAATCAAGCCTCTTTTATGTTACTCTTCTGTTTTTTTTATGACATCTCCTTGGTTTATACTGTTTGTTTTCTAATTAAGGAATACAATGGATATATATTAGTGCTTCTTTCATATATTGCACTGTGCATTGGAAAGTAACAGGTATACAACAGGGAAACAACAACTTTCAAAACTGAAAATATTTCTTTCATACTGGGCCTGATTCTGATCTCAGTTATTCCAGTATCAGTCTAGAACAATTCCACAGATGGAAGTGGATTTGATTCAGATTTACAAAGACACTGCTGAGAAAAGAATTAAAGAATTTGCCCTATGATAGTCCTCAAAAATACAATATTGATCCAAAAGATAATAAAGATGTGTAAAGGTTGCATTTCAGATGGTTATAGAAGACATAACTATACTTTGATTCATCAGCTCAAAGCAATTAACAACTGTTTACACTTTCTTTTGAAATTTAAGCAAAAGAGAATCAATTGAAAGGAATTTTTAAAATCCTATGCAGGACTCTGTTCAAAAAGTGAAATGTTCATGAAAAGTTCATTACATATACTTTCAAAATATTTTCCTAGAGGTTAAAAATTATGCTTGTAAGTGATTAAACTGTGTAGATAACTAATGACTTGTGTGGGGATTTATTTCTTGTAGATGAAAACATGCAGCTGTGTTAAAAATTTTAATACAAAGAATGTTCTACTAAAATTCCTGCAGGTAAATGGGTATTAAAAAAGTGGAAATTTCAGTTTGCTTGAGATACAAAAAGAAAAAAAGACACAAAAAATTTAAAAAAAATCAAATGCAGGATATGCTATTAGATGTTGAGTTTATATCAATAAATGTCTTGCATCATCTGTCACTGAACTCACTGGGCTTCTGTGTTGTTCTCCGTTCATGGCACTTCGCGGTCCATCAGCTCGTCCACTTTTCCCATCAACTTCAGCATGAGCTGGGTTACAACCCAAAAATACGGCTCTAGCTCAGCTTCTTCTGGACAGTTTCAGAAGTGTTCAAGTGAAAGAACCCGGTTTTAGGCAAACTTCCAACCCAGATTTAGGAGGCAATAATTTTTGAACAATGCTCTTCCTCTTGGGTCCTTCTCCGAGGCTCAGTTGGAACTACATGTCAGTCGTGTTTTTGGTTATTGGTTGAAGAACATGTGGGGTGGAAATGTTCACATCTGAGGTTTTAGAATTGGGAAACAGGCTGTCTGTCACAGGTGTCTCATCACTGCAGCACTAGTTTGACGTACCTCGACTAATGTTCAAGTTCCTCATAGTGTGTGACATCCCTAAACAGGATGGAAACAGGGAGGAAAGGGGTGGTATTAGCAGCACGGGGGAGACCTGTGGTTACATGTAACCTGTATATATATATATCTATACATACATATAACCTGTGAATATATTTTCTCACTGAGAGATACTAAGTGTATTTCTAGCTTTTCCAAACAGTGCAATTGTTGGCAGCTGCCCAGCTCATAGGACAGCACCGGTTGGTAGCAGTCACAACAGGAACACCAGGGAATCAAAATATTTGTCTAGGGAAATGTTTGAAGATCTTCCACCCAGCTCAGTGCTGATGAACACTGATGGGCAGTCTGGGACATTGTGTGAGCAAAACTTGCTTTTTCTATCAACAAACCCAGACTGAAATATTTCATAACCTCTATGCTCATGGGGAGGACACTAAAAACAAAAACCAAAAGTGAGCTGTCTTCAAAGGGGGCTGATCCGAATGTAGCCTTCAACTTTACCTGCTAAGGTCTGTCATGGGAATTTACCTTCTTAAGGCCAGGAAAGGAGCAGAATCACAACAGCTACAGGACATGCTCCTGTGTCAAGGACATTAAACAAGTCAGAGCCATTTGTGTGCAAGTGCTTGTATTTTTTTCTTGAAACACATGATGGTTTGAGTTTGCACTCTTTCTTGGCAGGCAATCACGTCACGGAGATGATGAAATGTCTTAATCCAACATGAATTTTGTCTGTCTTTATTGTTGCTTGAGGGTTTCCCTAGATTTCATCTGTCCCTTTGTTGTGCCTCTTCAAGATTTGTGGAAGGTGTATTGGGCAGGAGCTTGGATGAGATGAGCTCCTGAGGTCCTACGATCCCATCCTAGCCTAGCTTCTTCTACAAGCACTAACTGGGGATGAGACCACGATATTTGTTTTCTGGGTGCCTGTTCTGCAAAGATGTATGCTTGAAAATCCATTTTTATGTGTGGAAAGCTTTTGTCTTCACTCTGCCTTCAAGACCGTGAGTTTCTTGAGGCAGGAGTTGTATCTTCCTCTGTATAATGCTTCCCTATGCACAACCACTGTGCATTACTGCACAGACCAGGTGACCTTGCTTCTAGCATATCTTGCAAAGGCAAAGTCCAGTACAAATTTAAAAGTCGCAGGTACTTTCTAGTGCAAAACCCAGCAAAAATATTCAGATATTGTAAAGTACGACAAATACATTACTCTGCAAGGAGCAGCTCTTCTGCCATCCTCTCAGACTTACAGGCTCATGAAGCAGAACAGCCCTCCCTTCTTTCCCCTGCCCTTCTCCAGAGTCACTGATGAGGCTGTTACCTGCTCACTCCTCCTCCTTCCTTGTGAGAATAACGTCCTCCTTGCATGTAGGGTCTGTATCAGTGCAATGGGTCACCGCTGAGGTCAATTCATTGATCTTAATAAAGGTATTTTTGGCAGAGCAGCCAATGTAGGGTTGAGCTGGGAGATAGCTCCTTTGTTCTGCTGTCTGGGAAGAGGCCGTGTGTGCATGCAGTGTGGCACAGTGTCCTCAACCTGGTGAGCTACGTCTTTCCAAAGCACATTGTGCCAACCTTCTTATTTAAGTCTTAGCTGCATTCCCTCTTGCTGGAATACGCATTTCTGCATCAGTTCTCTACTCTAGGAGGGGAAAATGATACAATTGCAAGTATTTCCATGGGTTGGATGATGTTGCTATTTTCTTTTTACCCTGAAGAGAGAAAAGGTGTTCTTCTTGTCTGTAGGAATGACTTCCCCACAGTCAGAGATGGAGACTTCTGTCCAGGCCTCGCTTCAGCGTGCTGATAAGGAGATCAAGACAGCTTTAAAGAAACTCGTGGACTCAGCATCACTGCTGGTGACTCTTCCTCCAGGGATGCGAGGAGAAACTGGTGGCCTTGGCCTTCCTGGGTCTGTTCCTTCAGACAACTCAGAAACAGCGCCTGGGCCCTCTGTGCTAGGTCATGAAGCCAGTACCCAAACCCAGACTGCTGCAAGGCATGGTAGGTTTGGCATGAATCTGGAAAATGTTCCATGGGAGTCAAGAGAGACAAAAATATTGGGCAATCAAATAACGATATTTTTTTTCCCTCATTTTTCTGTGTTGTTGTGTTTTGAGCAGTTACAGATTAAGAAAGGACATTCAGATCCAAAGAAACATGGGGCTGTGGATTGGGGTTAGGCTGGACACAAGTTTGGGGCAGATCTTTCTGGAAACATAAAGGGTTTGAACACTGTGTCTGAAGTAGAGTTTGGTTCATCACCTGCCCAAAACCTGACGGAGCACTGGCACAGGTTGCCCAGGGAGGTTGTGGGTTCCCCGTCTCTGGATATATCCAAGCCCTGCCTGGACAAGGTCCTGTGCAGCCTGCTCTAGGTGACCCTGCTTCGGCAGAGGGGTTGGACTAGATGATCCACAGAGGTCCCTTCCAACCCCTAACATTCTGTGTGATTCTGTGTGAAATGGAGGGATTTGGGATTATTCCATCAAAAAGACCAAAGTCTTTTGACCCTAGACTTGCTTCAAGCTTCTGGGGGGAGAAAGTGGGGTGGGATCCCTCCTTTACATTTATAGAAGTCATTTGTTTTGTGATTTGGTGGGGAGGTTGTTCTTCTTTTATTGTTTGCCATAAACAAGCTGGAAATGTGTTTAACGCCCCTGTATCAAGTGTCAGAGACTTTCTAGGATGTTGGGTGCATCAAGTTCATCTGCATTTCACCAACCCTGGAGCCTTGATAAACTCCTTAGCAGTTTCCACGTGATTAAAACCAGCAATGTGTGTGACTGTGTCTTGCTAGGAGAACACATCTTCGTCTTTGCATTGTTTATAAAAGAAAACGTGAATAAGCGGCAACCCTCCCTCTCTTCCTTCTGCTTCTGCCATAACAACTTGTCTAAGCTGTCTCTGTGTCAAGTCAGAGTAACTGTCCTCCACCAGTGTCAACTTAAAAGGACAATGTCAAACAGCCTTCAGCCCTCAAACGCCAGATGCTGTTTAAAAAAAAAAGATATTCTTGTCTAAAACTTAGCAAGGATAGAAGAATTTTATGGAATCAGACCAAAAAAAACTACATAAAAAAACGACAGGGCTTTAAAACCTTTTTTCCTTGCTAGTAGGAAATAATCTGTGAAAATAATCCTCTGGTGAAGCAGGATGACTCAAAAATCAGAAGTAAAATGTCAACTAGCAGATTATTTCCTCATTCGTAACTATAGAGATGATAGCATAGTGGATGCGATGGTTTTGCAGTCCTTTCATCTGAGAAAACTAAACATGTTATTAACGTGGGGAATTATTTTAATAAGATGGAGAGTTGACAACTGTCCCTATGATCACATGCTTTGAATAAAAAGAAAGCAAATATTTTGACAGTGCTGGCAATAGGAAGCACAATCCCACCAGTCTGGGATCTCTGAAACTGCCGGTAATGCCTTGAATAACCACGTTTTTCACCCAATAGATCTGTTTTACGTGTTTTCTAAAAACTGCTGCTTTTTTCCCAAACCAGCCAGCACCAAACATCCCTCGAGTGCTCCCCAAAAAGGCCTTTCCGGCTGGGAAGAAGAGTCCTGTTGATTTAACCTTTTCTCCTCAGACAAAAAAAGGAGATGATGCATTTTATCCTATGGGGTGACTCCAACGGTCAATATCAAAAAACAATCAGGTACTTTTGGAATGGAAGATCAAATGAGTTTTTGAAGATACAGCTGATAAAATAATGAATACTAAAAGAAGAACAATATCTGAATGGCCATCAAGCTGCACCACCGTTTTGTTTCCTTGTTCCTATAAGCCCCAGATGCCAAACCTTGTTCTGGTGTAGCTTAGAGTCATACAAGGGCATTTTCAAAGAACCAAGTGGAGTTGCACCAACCCTGACAATGTAACATCACCAGGTCCTCCATATTAGCACACCGCCATATTATCTCCATATTAGTTGCACTCCTAGCCAGGCCCTGCCCTGACAACCAGTTTTACATTGATGTAAGCTTACTCATTTCATGGAGGCTGTCTGTTATTGCACCAGTGAGTCAAGAACTGTTCTCCTAACGCAAAGTTTAACTGGAGCATTCATGTGTATGAAGCTAACACTGGGCATGCTTGGAGGTATTTAAAAGACATGTAGATGTGACGCTTAGGGACATGGTTTAGTGGTGGACTTGGCAGTGTTAGGTTAACAGTTGGACTCGATGATCTTAAAGGTCTTTTTCCATCCTAAATGATTCTATGATTCCATCATAGCCATGAGCTGGAACTCAAACACTTAAATTATCTCCAATAAAGGATGCACTGAACTCACACTGTCCTTCCAGTTATCATATTTCTTCTTGTCCCTAGTTTCGTATTTGTGTGTCTGTGTGTTTCCTTACAGAAAAGTTAGTTTTGCCCAGTCAGCAATGTGCCACCATTCAGTCTCTCTCACAGAATCACAGAATCACAGAATAGTAGGGGTTGGAAGGGACCTCTGTGGGTCATCTAGTCCAACCCCCCTGCCGAAGCAGGGTCACCTACAGCAGGCTGCACAGGACCTTGTCCAGGCGGGTCTTGAATATCTCCAGAGAAGGAGACTCCACAACCTCCCTGGGCAGCCTGTTCCAGTGCTCCGTCACCCTCAGAGGGTTATTCTCATGTTATTCAAGCCCTTTGCTTCATGTGGTCTTCTCAAAAGAGCCAAATTCTCCTCAGCCTCAGTGATTGCACCCAGATGAAGTCAGATGGACTCAGTTCTGATGCAAGGCAGACTAGAGATGGCTCCAAAAGTTTGCTCTGGGTGTCAGGTGTGCTGCCATAGGTGATGTATCTAACTTGCCCTTTGCCAGACAAAGAACAAAGGCAGATTCCAGCTGAAGAACCAAGCGTGCCAAGGCCCAGGCCTGGACCTCCCCGTGAAGAGACAGCTGCTGGAGATGACGGCACTCAGGAGCGCACTGTTCCTATTACCAGGTAACACCCACATTTCTGAACCTGGCAGACTTTATTGCAAGAAAAGTAAGTTCTCTGTGCTGGATGCCTTGAACGGATGCTTGTAGGTTTGTTACTATTTTTAGAATCCTGTTCACACATGCATTGTGCAAGAAGAATAGAAAAGGCTGGAGAGAAATTAATTCCTCCAAAACAAAACTCCTGTATTAATTTTAAGTAAATAATGATTTGTCTGGTGGTTAAACACAGAGATCAATGGCAGGGTGTAATACTGTATCTCCGTAGTTGTATGTGACTGTGATCTTTTCTTGTGGGCTCCATGAAAGGACATCACCAGCCACGGGGGCAGGAGACTGGTATAGAAGAGAAGGAGATGTGGTCTGGGATGTACACAGTGAAGTTTATATTGAGACCACAGAAAGAACGTGTGTGTATAAGACTGAGGAGAAAACCCCAACAAGTAAGGAAGAGTCTTGTTTCCCTCTCCCACATCCCATGATTGTCATTGTCTTTTGGTAACAGCTCTTGATGACTGCTTTTTTTTTTAAATACTTCCATTTCTTGAGCAGTAACTGTTTATTAAACAAGAAGTAACAGATAAGTGTGAAGATAAGAAGCCTAAAAGTAATGCCAGTATAAAGAAACCCAAATATATTGCGGTGAAATCCTTTGATTTGACATTAAGCTGATGTCATATCCCAAATGGCCAGTCCTGTAAATCCCATTTGAGTAGCTCAGCCCACATCAGCACACCATGAACAAAGCTGTGGTACTGTGCATGCAGCAAACCCTTGTGTCTCACCAGGTCCTCCCTATATGCAAGTGACAATAGAGGATGTGCAAGTGAATTCTGGGGAGCGTGCCAAATTTCAGGCAGTCATTGAAGGAACACCTCAGCCCACTGTTTTGTGGTTTAAGGTAAGTGCAGGTGCTTCTCTGGCTGAGAATGAGGACCGCAGAAAGGACAGCAGAGCAGTATTTCTGTGGGGAATTTCTTTCGTTCTTTCACCCCGCACCTCTTACACTGTTTTTAGGTCATATCTACAGACTTTGTTGAATGAGCTGCTGTTCTCATTAGAACCACCAACCATGCATCTCACCCTGTGTTGTCTCCAGTGTCACTGTAGCTCCTTTCACAGAGAGGGCAACCAAGATGGGCCTGACGACAAAGACGGGCAGGCAGGGAGATTGGTTCCTGCGTGAGAGCCACCAAGATGTGTGCCGTAGTTTTGGGGCCAGGGGTGGGATTAAGAGTGCTTCCAATTCTCAATGGGACTTTCAGGCTCTGTATCTTTTCTGCAGCTAATTGGTCAAATGAGTGTGAATGAGGAGAACGAATATCTCATAGAAAGGAAGGAGAAACAATTTATTATCCCTCAGATTATTGTTGTGGTCTTGAAATATGCCAGTGTTTTTCTGTAATAATTGTCTGTAACTCTTCTGTCCAACTGCTTTGTACACACAAGTTTAATTCAATTTTTTTTCTGTATGGGAAGTGCAAGGATGAGCTACTTGGAGAAATAAAATAGCCCCAAAAAACAATCAAAAATGCAAAGAACCACCTCCCATGCACACACATACATGCACACGCACACCCCTGAAAAACAATAGGAACAAGGCCAGAATGTACGATACAACCTGTTGACATTCTCCCAATCTCTGACATTTTCAGCTCAGAGTTACCACGACCTAGCTGAAGTTTTCTCTCTTTACTAACCCACAGTAAAGCTCTCCACGTGCTTATCTCATCTCCTCTTGCACCCATGCAAACGTCTTGCATGTACAGCGTCCTTTGCCAAGGAGTTCCACCCAATGACACCACGCTGCCTGAAATGCCACCTCTTTATGGCTGTTCTGTACGTATTCACCACAAGCTTCATGTGTTGGCTCTTACATCTTGTCCCAGGAAAAGTCAATCCCTGCCCACTCGCTAAGCTATTCATAATTCTGTACAGCTCTATCATGTCGCATGGTGAGGGCCTCCCTTCCAGGCTGAAGAGCCCCACCTTGCTCTGTCAATCCTCGTCTGGAAGCGGTTACAGAAAGAACATTGCTGCAAAAGTACCACACCACGGGCAAACCGAGGATTCATAAGATGATGCTTTCTGTCTTCCCCTTCATTTCTTCCCTAATAATTTCTAAGATCTGGTACTTTTTGGCTGCTGCCAAGCACTGAGCTGGTGCTGCCACAGAGTGATTGACTGTAACTCAAATTTGTGCTCCGGTGTAATAAGGAACAGCTCAGAGACCAGCATTTCACGTGGGAGAATAGGGTTGCATCAGTCTACATTTATTATATGATCTACGTTTATCTGGCATTTTACTGCCCAGATAGACGGTCTCATAAGGTCCTTTTGCAAATCTTCATAATCTGCTCTCTGTGTCACACACAGTCCCTCCTGCCTCTTTTTTCATAGCATTTATGACTATATTGGGCAGCACAAGTGCCAGCACAAGCTGGAGATCAGGCAGGAGCAAAGTGCTCCCTGGGTTGACTGCCCAGGTGTGGTGTGCTGGGAGAGCTGAAGAATAAGCCACACAGCCCCGGTGATCCCTCCCAAGCCTGTACTGCTATGCATGGGCTATGAAACAAAAATGTTACTGGGTAATGTGGAAGCAGAGGAGCAGTTAGACACGGGGGACTTCTTCAGTCAGCACTTTGTTAGTCAGAGTTGCTAGCCTAAACAGTCTGTGCTGTAGCTCTGCTCCTGCATCTCGCTTCTTGAAGAGAAGAAGCATCTGTTTGCACCTTGGTTTCCGCAGTGTCAAAATGTCATTCCATTCTTTCAGGGCACGTCACTGCTGATGGACAGCAACAGGCTCCATCAAGGGAAGGAAGGAACAACGTATTTCTTAGTTGTGGACAATGCTGTCTCGGAAGACGGTGGTGTTTACACCTGTGTTGCCAAAAACACAGGAGGGGAGGTGTTGTGCAAAGCAGAGCTTATTGTACATGAAGGTAATGTCATTCCTGCAGCTGCAGAAGTTGTGTCCACTGCAATATGCACTCTGTTGTAGTCATCTTCTGGTACCCATGTGGCATCTGCTCTGTATTCCTATGTAGCATTTGTAATTACCAGTAGGCAGGATCCAGTATAAGAGCAAATGATCTAACGACCTACATACATATACACAAATGAGGTTGTTTATTTTTCTCTGCTCCAGACTATGTGACAAACTGATCCAACGGGCCACAGAAATAAGTGGGGTCGTGTCTCTGGTGGTGTTCTTCTCTTTAGCATGGCTCTGCCGATTTATGTCAGGTGAAGATGCACCCCCAAAGTTCATACTGACAGGTTCTGTCATCAAACAGCTCCACTTAATTCTGTGCAGAAGTTTAGAGTACCTCTGTAATTTTTACTGCCTTAAATTGTCCTGTAATAACTTTGCACGCTATTAGCAAGGCATTGTTGTCTGAAGATTAACACCTATATTTTCCTTCACTTCCAAAGCTAAGAAAGACCAAGCAGCAAAGAAAGTGGCCACCAGGAGAAAGCTCCATTCCCTTTATGAGGTTAAGAAGGAGATTGGAAGGTAAATTAATTTTCCAACTTTATAGCATCACTGTCAGAGAATATTTAATCACCCATCTGAGCAGCTGAGCATGTGTAACCAGAGGCAGAGGTGGGCCCAGCTGTGGACAAGTCTGAAAAGGTGAAAGTACTGGCAGAAGTGGGAGGTCACCCCATTGCAGGTGTGCTGGAAACACTTTCCTGAGGTTTCTGACAGAAGATGAGAGAGTCCATAAAGCCCATAGGTCCGGGTAGCTCCAATCAGAAAAAATACCATCCAGAGGCTGGCAGGACAGCCGCCCAGGTATGGGTTCTTGTCCATGTCAGCATCGCGAGCCCGTAGTGACGTATGCACAAGCACCGTGCCCATCCAAGGGACCCAAGGGCATCAGCCTGTGTCAGCACAAAGGCTGTATCATCTGAAGCAGCTTTTCCTTCATGTGGACTCGTTGCTTAGTTTTGGAGACAGCCAGGAGAGGGCAATAGCACCTCACATACAGGAAAACGAGCTTTTTACGTTGGAGAAATTAAGCCCTGAGCAGTAGGGAGCTGTCAAAGGCTGGGACGTGGAAAGGTCTACTCCTGCTGTGCAGAGGGCTTCGAACCAAGTCTGAGAAGGGCTTGTCCTTTGATTTTACACAGGGGCTGCTTCAGTTTTGTGAAACGAGTGGTACATAAAGGGAACAGAGTGTCTTGTGCTGCCAAGTTCATACCTCTACGGAGCAAAACAAAGGCTCGAGCGCATCAGGAGAGGGATATTCTTGCCTCTCTGTCCCACGACAGAATCACCAGGCTCCTGGATCAGTTTGAAACACGGAAAACACTGATTTTGATTCTGGAGTTGTATCCTTTTCTGTGCTGCTTCACTGAGGAGGCTGGGAGTTACTAGGCAGAGCTCTTTTATTAATTAACTAAGCAATTAACCATTCATAGGTTTTGCCTGAGATAAAGGGACACACATAATCTTTCCCTGCTCTGTGAGCTCTTCACTGAAGTACTATGCTTCTGCTGTCTTAGGAAGAATCATGATGCTGGCATATACAAGTGTGAACGAGTTGTTAAGCACCAAATCTCTCTTCTGAAATGTCTGAAAGTGAAGGACTCTGTTTCCATGAGATCCAGCCTGGGCGAGCACCAGGAAAATGCAGTGCAGAGCAGAAAAGCCCATCACCAACAGGCAGGTTTTTAGCACAAGTGACACCGTGCTCCTGCACGCAGGGAGCACAGGTTTAGAGCAGCCCAATTCTATTACACTTCTGCAAGAAGGACACTTCTGCAGCAGGGATTTTAATGAATTACATGCACATCACGTTGCCTGAGATCACCTCGTCAATCCTGCTCTGTTAGCTGGATAGAGGTGGTTACAAAGTGAAAATCAGCATTTGACTGTACTTCTGTTTTCCCTCAATGCCATTGTCAGATGCTCCAGCGAAGAGCTCCTCGACCGCTTATTCAAGAAGAGTGTCGTCACTGAAGCAGAGGTAATCTTTCTCATTTGAAAGTCCAGAAGAGCTGGGTACCCCCAGAGTACCTTCCAGTTGCAGTTTCCTTTTTGAATATGAGGAATATCTTTGAACCAGTGCTAATCTGTTAAAACAGAATAAGTGAAATTATTTAGCTTTCATTGCTAAATTGAATTTCTTCAGGGAATAACTGGAAACAGCCAGTGGTTTTGACTGCATTCAGCCTAATACAGATGATATTTGCTCTATTATCATAATTTCTTTGCTATCTGTCACCTGGAGTGTCTGTATCTTCACTTAATAACGCTTTATCCCCTTGTAATCATATTCCATTTCAGTCTGCAAACCAAGGGCTCAAATTATGGTTTCCAAGATCTCTGGTGCTCAAAGTTCAAAATGTTTCATGTCTCCCACATAGTAGCCATATGTCCCATATTAATTGGTAATTTTTCTTAGAAATACTCAGAGGAAAATACCATAGAATCATAATATGGTTTGGGTTGGAAGGGACATTTAAAGATCAAATGTCAGCTAACATCATAAAATGTCAAAAGCAGAGAACTTCCAAAGCTGAAGCTAGCTGTAAATCTTCACTCCTTGTTCAGTCATAGTCAGACAGGATCGACACATAGTCAAGAAAATAGGTTTACAACATAGTTTTATAATGTATTTGTGTTTTAAATGTGTTCGCCTGATTTACACCAAGCCAGAGCTGAGTCTGAGTTAGATAATTTAGGCAACTGATAAGATTCATCAAGGAAATTCTATATCTCTTTTTTTCATGTTTGTAGGGTCGGTTTTTTTTTTTAAAGTAAGGGCTTTTGCACATGTAGAAGGCTCCAGCAGGGCAATGTGGTCACACACAAGGAACAGCTTCATTCCACGTGGTAACGTTTGGTTCACATCTTATTTCAACTGCAAGACTAATATAAGAAGTTCATTCTAGCTTTAAAAGTATTTCTAGTTTTATCTCTCCCTCCCTCAGATATTAAAAATGTTGGTGGAATCAGGGATCCTCTTATTTACTACTAATGTTTAATAATTTTTTAATAATTTATTTTTTAGGTCAAATTGTATATCAAGCAAATTTTGGAAGGAATCAAATATCTCCACGACAACAACGTCCTTCACTTGGACATTAAGGTAACGTGCAATGGCAGGTCCAGCTTTTCATATCCTCTTGTTGGTCAGGGAATAGACATTCTCTGTTTGAATCATTCTTGCTTACAACTGAAAATACTGCCTGATTTCAACAAAAGTTTCTCCCTTTTATTGTATGTCATTTACTAGCCGCTGAATATCCTCATGGTTTATCCTGAAAGGGAAGACCTTAAGCTCTGTGACTTTGGATTTGCTCAGAAGATCACACCCTTTGAGCCTCAGTTCAGCAAATACGGGTCGCCGGAGTTCGTTGCCCCAGAAATTGTTTCTCAGTCACCAGTGTCAAAAGCAACTGATATCTGGTAACCTGAATTTCGTTAATAAGTAAATGGAGCAGTGATAATAATACAGGACACTGAAAGTAAACACTGAGGATCCAAAACACATCAGGGCTCTTTTAATCTCCTTCTATTTTATTCAACCATAATTGAACTCTGACAGCTAATTAATGTAAAGGAGCATCTTAGACAAGATGATCTTTATTAGAGGCAGCAGCTAGGGAGGATGATCCTAAAAGGCTTTCTAGAAAAGGCAAGCAAGCTCAAAAAAAAGTAGCTTGAGTCTTCCTCTCTGTCTGTGCTTTAAAAATGGAGGATTACTTGAGAACAATTTTTAAAAATTATGAAAGGAAAAACACTGAGGGGTGAAAGCAATAGCTTTTGGGGTTTATTTTCCTTGGAAAGGTGAGAAGAAGACGAGGATCTTACTGTGCCAGGGTGTCTAGCAGCAGGTAGAGGGGTTGTGTGCTTGAGAAGGATGGAGAAACAGTGACAAAGACCTGAAATTTGTGTTCTCTCTCTCCTCAGGTCTGTTGGAGTCATCACGTATTTAAGGTAAATAAATCTTCTTGAAAAGAGTCATTCAGTGTCCCTTTGTCAGTCAGAGCACTTCAGTATCTTCAAGTGAGGGATCTGAGTGACGCATTGAGTCCTTCTATAATGAGGGCAATTTTTTTTTGTAGTTTTCTCCTTTAGTCGCTCTTTCCTGGTTGCCCAGGGCTTTGGTCATCATCCTTGCTTGAAGACTTGACAGCTGCTCTCCTTGCAGTAAGCGATGAGAGCAGTGGATGAGGCTCAGTCTTCCCCTCACCTGTTTTAGCCACCATCCTACAACTCCTATGCAAAATCAAACCCTTAATTCCTTCTCTGTGAAACAGGGATAAATAATTCAATCAAGTGCTGGGGTGAAAGATGCTCTGTTAGGGGACGCACTGCTCACAAGCATTGCAAGTCCCATGCGTGGAGTCCCTCAAGCATTTTATAGCCCCGTGTAAGCATTTGTGCTTCTGTCATTTGAACAGCAAATAAAAGTCTCAAGTCTGTCTCCTTTTATTTTATGGTGTTCAATAAATAAGCCTAACATGCAAGTCCCCGTTTGCTGGGGAGAACGACAGAGGAACCCTTCTAAACATCCAGAACGGGGAAATTTCATGGACCATTCCTGATTTTGTTCACCTGAGTGAAGACGCAAAGGACTTGATAAAAAGGATCTTACAGCAGCACCCCAAGTGAGTGCCCCTTTGTGCTTGCTTCAGCCAGTGTGCAAAGCTGTCGGTGTCTCAGCAGGCAGATCTCAGTGCATCAGAGCTGCGGTTGTTCTGAAAAGTAGAAAGCTGAGTGAGATGTGGTGTGTTATGCCCTAATTCTTCTTTATTAGTCCCCGTTACCCAAAACACAACGTGGCAATTTGCCAAATTCGGCCTGTTTCTGGTGTGGTGATGTCCTTAATCCCTGACTTCTCCAGGCAGATGAGTTTCTGAAATGACGTAGAGAAGTGGGAAGAGCAAGGACTGGTATGGAGTGAGTTATGTGGGAATTAAATAATATTAACCACATTCATTAAGCAAAGCCGCAAAGGCGGCTTGAAGGCATGTTTGCAGAGGTCTGCTTTTTAAGATCATTTCTATTCTTTCTGCCTGCTGCCAAAGCTGTTTTGGCTCTGGCCACCTGAAGAGTCCAAGTCACTCTTAGGGCTGCTCTCGACGTGCTTCAACAGGCTCCCTGCAGAGTGCCACGGGGCCTTCCTGAGGATTTGTAGGGAGTTTCAGGCCAAAAAAGGAGGATTGTTTCACCTCAAGGGAAGGACACCTTGGGTTCAAAGCCACTGTCTGCCTGTTTGGCTCCTCAGCTCCAAAGCAGCAGCCTAAGGACATAAGTAAATGTGTATGCATGTGTCCACGTAAAGCAGGCACCTTCAGAAACATCTTGTGGTTGCTGTTGGAAGCGACATGCTACTAAAATGGTGATCTTTTCTCTTGTCAGAGACAGGCCTAGTGCTTTGGACTGTCTTTCCCACAAGTGGTTCACGGTAAGTTTATCCTGGTTCTTTATTAGAATCCTGAAAAACATTGAGGTTGGAAGAAATCTTTGAGGAGCGGTTCTTAATGATGCTTGATATTACTTGCTGATTTATGTTTTTTTCTCTTGGTCTCCTACTTTCGGTCCTACAGAGAAGCTCAGGCATGGCTCTCCAGGAAGAGGAGGCACATTGGTGTCTACATGCCGGGATATCTTTCCTTTCAAAAGATAAATATTACTACTGGCATGAGCAGATATAATATGTCTGCAGAGAGAGGAAACTGTGTCTTTGCAAGAAAAGTTATGGTTTATATTCCAATGCCTTAAATTGCTGAGGAGAAGAACTAAAAATTAACAACAACAAAAAAAAGGCATTTAATGACATGCATTGAACAGGGCTTGCTTTTGTCATTGAAAAGCTGAGATTGTCTACAATTTAGCCATAAGGGGATTTCAGCATTAGGTCTATTGTAACTTTCCTAAATTAAACAATTCTGCTCAGGAAATGAAGTCTGGATTTTTTAACCAATGATTTTCCTCTCATTCCACCTGGCAGCATAATGTCCCCCTCGAAGCAGCTCATTTCATTAACACCAAGCAGCTCAAATTCATTGTGGCTCGGAGCAAGTGGCAGGTGAGTTGGCCTTAATCAATGTTGGTTCTTTTTTGTTATATATAATATTAATTACATTTGCATCTTTTAAAGTCTATTGGGCTAGGACAGCGAGCACAGTAGAGATCTCAACTTGGCTATGAGCGGGGAATAAGCCCAGTAGAGAGTGGTCGATGGATGTGGCAGAAATAAATTATCTAGGCCTTTGCTGCCTGGAAATCATCTGGTGTAATGCAGGTGCCCGCAAGACGCATGGTTGTGTCTAAGTTAGGTACCCTCAGCTGCCTTTGCAATTAGTACTGAATTATAGACAGGTCCCAAGAAGATTCCTCTTTTCCTGAAGTTCTCTAAGTAATCAGATTGATTGCCTTCTGCCTGTTTGTCTCTGTTGGCTGGAAGGGGAGGCCAGCTGCTCAACTTCAACTGAGATGTCTCACATGGCAGAAGTTAGAGCAGATGAATCCTACCTCCTACAGTATGGTAGGGCATCTATTGGCCTAAGCCACTGTAGGTTGTACTGCAGTCGATGGATTTAAGGCCACTTGCTCCAACTAGGCTCTCATCTGATGTGTTCCATTAAAAACTCCTTTTCCATCTGCTTTGGGTGGCCAGAATGCCTTTTAGAATCTCAAGCAGGGTCCTGCTTCCCTGTTCATGACAGCAAGTATGTCCCCTGAAGTCAACATAGTTTCACCTCTGTGAATGAGAGAACAGGAAGACTTGGAGAGCAAATGGGGGCTGGATTGACAATATGTACAAAAGGGTGGCAATGTGTTATTAAATTAGCATGTGTGGTATTTAAGAGTGTAGAAGTTCATTTTGGTATGCTTGCTTTACCATATTCCCACCATGTTTCCATCTCCTTGTGCTCTGTTTTGTTTTGCTTTTCAGCGGTCTCTGATGTGCTACAAATCCATACTGGTGATGCGGTCTATCCCAGAAATCCTAGAAAGGACTCACGACAACACCTCCCTGGCCATCTCCCGCCACCTTATTGAAGAAAGCACTTCGTCCAGTACCAGCGGCTCCTCCTCAGACAATGAGAACTCACATTTCCCCAAGAAGAGGCACTTTGGCTCTACACCTGAACTGCACTTGTCCATATTTGATGCACCAAGCCAGCAGGAGCCTCCAAAACATGCAAGTGAAGAGAAGCACTCCAAAATCTCAGTCCCTCCAGTAAAACCCATGAGGAGGAAGTATGCTTCAGTGAAAGCTCAGGTAGGGGACAAATCACCTACAGAAAGCAAAGAACTCATGGCAAGTATCTTAAAGGAGAAGGAGGAGTGGCTCCATCCCAGACTCCGAGATGAAAGAGCAGAGCAGTCCCAAAGAAGTGGTGCAGCTGAGCCTTCATCGGTGAAGACTTCCACAGAAAGCACATCACATCCATCTCAGAAAGAGAAACCAGATGTATTTTTATCTGATAAGGACAAAATTGAAAAGCCTGTGGATGGGACAGAAAAGCCACCTGTCTGTGTTCCTCGACAGAGTGTCATTAAAAGCACTTTCTACAGCCAAGCAGCTGAGCTACCTGCGAGGGGGCCTTCCTCACCAGGCAGGGAGTTCAGGAGGCACCTGGACAGAGCCAGAAGGACTTTCCGGAAAGCTGGATATTCAAAGGTGCCCCTCAGTGGTCTCCGGGAACCCCTTCTAGAGCAGTTTGAACTGGAAGAAGAAGAAGGAAAGTCTGATGATGGAGATGATCACAGGGAAAGTCTGCTTGGTTCCTTGACCAAATCAGCTTCATTTGACACTGCAAGGAAACCACCACATCCTGCCATTGCTGGTGCTAGCCGAAGCCGTTCCCTGGATGACTACAGGCTGAGAGCCTCAAGATCAGTGAGGGAACAAGATATTTTGGAGGAAGACTGTGATCTATTGTCACAGGAAAGTTGCCCTGAAGGCAACGAACACTGCGACATTTCTATGGGGCATGGCAAGGGATGTTCTGCAGACACTTCAAAGCAAGAGGACTTTCGGAGAGCCAGCAAGGATTCTTCAGCAGAGCAGCCCACTCCTTCCACACAATGTGAGGGTAACGGGTGCCGGGCTGTTTCTGTGCAACAGCTAGAGAGACTTCCAGAGTCACCTCATAGGAGCGAGAATAGGAAACATTTACTGCAGATGTCAAAAGCTGCTTACATTGAGGAGGAAGTTGAAGATTTGGACAGCAAAAGCCCCATTCTAACTGCCCAGTGCTCAGATGTAACTGCACCATCAGCTCACAAACATGAAAGCACAGAGGGTAAATCTTCCCCTGGCAGTGCCTTGGACAGTGCTTTTCAGGAGGGCAAACAGTCCGTTTCAACTCTCACACAGTCAGAGACCACCTCCAAGTCAGCCCCTACAAGTAAGGGTGGTGTGTATCTGCCCCAGGAGTCTGCTCACAGCACTGACATCCATCCGGATCTGAAAGGTGGAAGCTTGCTTATCAAAAGGACTGCCCCAGTTCCACCTTGGAAAGACAAAAGGCAGAAACAATCACATGAGAAGACTTCTGCTCCTAGTGTTGCCAAATCTGGTCTCATGGAGCATGAAAGCTCTGTTGTTTTAACACGCTCACAAAGAGAACCCGATTCACTTCCAGCATTTAAAGACAAAAGTCAGGAACTTCCTGGTCAAAGTCTTCCAGCAACTACTGTCTTGGTGGGAAAACGGCCAGGTACCCTAACTGTGCTGCACACAGCTGACGAAAGTGCTCATCAAAAGCTGAAGACCTATAAAGAGGTGAGATCTGCTGTCCTGGAGGATGAAGGACTGGGTATTGCAGGAATCACTCCACCCTCAGCCCACGACGGTGAAAGCCAAGCACACAAGAGGGGTCCTGTTCCTATACACACGACATCAGCCAACCTGAGGGGAGAGCATCTTGTTGTTCCAAAAGTCCCACCACCAAAACCAATGTCAACTTCAGCCTCTGATGGAGCACGGCAGGCTGAAAGGGAACGGCCAGCTCATAGCAAGGAGGGGCTAGCTTCTCTGAGGAGTGAAAGCTCAGCTGTCTCAAACGTTGCTCCCAGTTTGGCCCACGAGGCTAAAATCGAGGGAACTGAACACCAGAAGGTTTCTGAAGGCAGTGTCATGATGCCTGCTGTTCTGGAGAGCAGACATCCAGCTAGAACCATGTCCCCCCAAAATACTGGCCTCCCTTCGGTCTGTGAGAGTGAAAAGCAAGAACATCCAAACGCATCACTTCTCAGTAAGGTGAGATCTGGTGTGACAGCAAGTGGAAGCCGAGCAGCTGGACAGACTATGCCTGCTCCTTTACCCAAGGCTGGACATCAGGTCTTTAAGCAGCACAGGGCTGCCTATCACAGTGGCAGGGTTTCTACTGATGTGGAGGGTGCACCTCCAGTTGTCTTAGCTGCTTCACAACCAGAAGCTGCTCCGGCTTCGGTCTATGAGCTAGAATATGAGGAACGTCCAATGGTTTATGGTGAGGGTAGAGACGTTGCCTTAGAAAGTAGACACTGTGATGCTGGAACAGCTGTCCCACCATCGTTCTGCAGGGATCAAAGTCAGGAGCTCTCACACCACAGGTCTTCATTTTACAGTGATGAGGAGTCTGCTGTGCTGGAGGGCTTAGTGGATGAGATGGTTTCCCTCTCTGAAGAGATGAATGTTTGGGCAGAGTCAGTTTCTGGTGAGGAGGAATGCAAAAAGCACATCTCTTCTCCCACAGAGATGTTCTATAATGACCCAGGTAGCCAAGCACCCACAGACACCTCCTTTCCTTCTGTACAAGGGGGTAAAAGACAAGAAGTCTCTGAGCTGGATGACCTTGCAGAACCCTATCTTGTCGTGAGTGAGGAGTCAGTGGTAGGGGAAGGGCAGGGAGCACAGACGGTTCCGCATGAATGTGAGCATCTGGAGGACTTAGCATTTGAGAGCCCCACATCTAGCCAAGTAAGCATTTCCTCAGCAGATAGCTCGGACACTGAGAAAAGACCTAGTCAAGTGTCAGTGAGCAAGGACACTGGTAAACACCCAGAAGTTTCTTTAGTGAAAATCAAAGACTTGTCAGATGAAACACCCAGTCTTGGCAGTGGACCTCTAAAATTTGACATATCAGAGGTAGAACCTGCCTATTTGAATTTCTCCGACTTGTACGACATTGTCTATTTTCCCTTCGAATTTATGAACTATAGGAAGCCTCCACCCAAACCAACTGGTAGACGGTTCATACCTTTTGGTGAAAGGGCAAGGTCACCTCCTGGAGGACATTTGCATAAGGAAAAAAGACTGTGCATCAGAGAAGAGGCAGAGGACAAGAACAGGAAGAACCATTCGGAAATACCTGAGGATTCAAAGGCAGCAAACTTATCAGCCATGGGGAAAGGGTCAGAGAGTCATAAAGAAATGTACGGCCCCCAAAAGGGCTCAAGTGGGAAGCAGAAAAGCTCCTTCTACAGCAAGCCAGGACTCTTTAAGCCGTATGCAAGGTCTCATTCAGTGGAGCAGCCAGTAGAGCAGAGTCTGAAGAAGAAAGTAAAAGCTTCTGTTGCCCATATTTCAAGAATCCTAAAAGGAAAGATATCTCCTGAGCCAGAGGCAGAGGAAGGTAAATATTTTACTCTGTGCATTCGTAGATTTGCTGCTGTGACTGGGCTCTGCTAAATCTGTCTTTTCCTTTTTCCCCAGCATATCTGAGGCTGTGGTTAGACCGTCATTGCAAAACTGGCAGTGGCAGGTTATGAAATTAGCGGTCTTCAGCCTCACCACTAGCTCTCTGTCACTGGCTCACTCCAGTGCAGTCAGCTGGGTTAATCTGCTGATGGATGTGGCTTGAATTCCCCTGTCTGAGTCTGCACAAAAGCAGATCAGGGTGGATGATGCATCAGGGCTGGATGATGCTTTCCTTGCTGCAGCTTCTTCTGCAGTTATCATCTGCCCATGGCAAACCTTTAAACCTAAAGTGACTGGGAGAAGGAGTTGGTGAAGTCACCCTGGCTACCTAAGTGGATGACACTGGACAACAGAATCTGTCCTTTCTTCTCTGCCATCCCTAGATATGCCCTGTTTTTCCAGGACATCATTCTGTTTGTAATCACTGTCACAGCCTTGCCTGTTGACTGAAGGCTCATTAATAAGGAAACCTGTGACTGCTGAGCTATTTATGTGAAAACAGCAGAACTGTCTGCTGCAAATGGATGCCACAGGGAGAAGGATGGCCTTGAACGACTTCTCATTCTTTCTTCAAACAGAGTTTGGTGAGCTGGGAAGTGAGGCAGTTGAAAAAGAGCTGTTAACAGGAGCTGAAGGATCTCTGAAGAGGAAATCAGCACTCTCCTCATTCAAGTTATCAAGCCTTCTGCCAAAGGAGAAAGGTATCACTATTGCATAGCTCATCAGTTAGTTTTATCATGAAGTATCACTAATGAACACGCCTGTGCTGTGTGAGGCCAGTTTCTCAGGACATACCTGCAGTGATTGTCTTGAGATGACCTGGACCATCTCATGCAATATGAGACAGCCTCCACTGAAGAACTTCTTCCCTCTGAGGGTGACGGAGTACTAGAACAGCCTGCCCAGGGAGGCTGTGGATTCTCCTTCTCTGGGGATATTCAAGACCCGCCTGGGGACTGGATGACCCACAGAGGTCCCTTCCAACCCCGAACATTCTGTGATTCTGTGTTTACAATATAACTATGTCCTTGCTAAAACTGTCTTGTCTTGGCATTGATTGCAAATTCGAGCCATTCTAGGAAGCCACTGCAAAGGAATAAAATCTATGTGCAACCTAGAAAGAGAAGAAATGGAGTATCCAAGGGTGGGATGGCAAAAGCAGAAAATTGCCCCTGCTTACTGTAGGGGGGTTGGGCTAGATGACCTCTAAAGGTCCCTTCCAACCCTACGCATTCTATGATTCTATGACTATGAATTCCTACACCCCAGTCCTGCACACATGTTTAAGGGCCAGGCACGCTGCTATAGAGCTGTGAAATGAAAAATGGTGGGGCAGCCCCAAACAGCATGTCAGCAAAGCTGAACTCATTTTTGCCCAGGCAAAAGCTTCCCCGTGACTCTAGCAGGAGCATTTTCTGAGGTCAGGTTAACGCCCCAGCGTTCAGCAGCGCCCAGCCAAGCACTGGGAAGGTCAGGCGTGTGAGGTTGGCAGCTCCTGGGCACTGTGGAGAAAAAACCCTGGAGAAACTCCAAAAAAAACCTGAGCTCAGCCTTTCCCTTGAACAGAGCAGCAGATCTCATGCTGTATCTTTTTTTCTCTCCTTCCATATCCATCTTTTACCTCTTATTCTCTCTTCTTGCGTTGTCTTGATCTGATCCCCTCATCCTTGAAATAACATCATTTAGTTTTGCCCCCACACTTAAGCTAGGCCAGAAGGGCTGGGCAATGCAGATGTTCCCCACGGACCTTTCAAGATCCATCTGGATTATCATGTCTGAGCAGTCACACCGCATTCAGGGGGCATCCCCATTGCCCAGGGGATTCTCCAACCGGTGGTCAATGGATTGCCAGAATATGAACAGAATGTTCTTGAACTGAGCAAAAATGCTTTCTGATGTCCTGCATGCACTTTACAGAATCACAGAATCACAGAATGTTAGGGGTAGTAAGGGACCTCTGTGGGTCATCTCTCCTGCCGAAGCAGGGTCACCTACAGCAGGCTGCACAGGACGGGGTCGAGGTGGGTCTTGAATATCTCCAGAGAAGGAGACTCCACAACCTCCCTGGGCAGCCTGTTCCAGTGCTCCGTCACCCTCAGAGTGAAGAAGTTCTTCCTCATGTTCTGCTGGAACTTTCTCTGCTTCAGTTTGTGCCCATTGCCCCTTGTCCTGTCATTGGGCACCACTGAAAAGAGCCTGGCCCCATCCTCCTGACACCCACCCTTGAGATCTTTATAAACATTTCTAAGGTCCCCTCTCAGCCTTCTCTTCTTCAGGCTAAACAATTATTTTCCACGTAGTCCTCCTGGCCACTCTGAATCGCTGCTTTTCCTCTTCTTCTCAGCACCGTTGTTCGTTGAGGAGCTCATCGATCAGGCTGCTGCCGTCGGACAGTGCGTGACGCTGTCGTGCCGGACGGCAGCTCACTCCTCCGTGCACATCGACTGGTTCAGAGGTGACATGGGCATTCATCTGGGGAGTCCCTAACCTCCGGGACAGGGGTGCAGGGAGGGTTTTAGACACCTTAGCATAAATTTGCAGTGTAGTTATCTCTCCTGTCTTCTGCTTTTCAGATGGGATGCCTGTCCACAGCAGTAGCCGGATCCTCATCTCAGCCACGCTCAAAAACTTCCAGCTATTAACTATTCTTTCTGTTAGTGCCGATGATTTTGGTATTTACACCTGTGTGGCGACCAACTCCCTGGGCTCAGCATCCACCTCTTGCATTGTAAGAAAAGCAGGTAAGAGAAAAAGTAGGTAGATTTTTTTTTTTTTTTTTTTTTTTTTTATTGTGGGGGGGGGGGGGGGAAAGGGTTAAA